TTCAGGAAACGCGGTAAAGCTACTTCATGCCCACGAGGCTCCCAGATTTCCTTTAGAAACACAAAAATGTAAAATTGCTTCAGCCGTTGTGTCAGACACGCGGATCTGACAGGATCTGACGGAAGACTCCGTATTCTGTGGATTATTTATGTATATTCTGCGTGTATAACTGGACTATAACCAGGACAGCTGAGTCACACAAAGCTACCACGTGAATACAAATATAAAAAGGTCTTTTACCGTAAAGGTAAACCGACGTCTTCCTCTAGATCAGTACTTGTGCTGTTCAAAGTAATTGTTATTGCTCGATAGCTTTCTCAGCTTTCTGAAGCGGCCATGTTTCCAGGTCATGTGACCTGAACAGGAAAGTTCTCATTGGTCGTTTTCTTCTTCTGTTGCTTTTAATTGAGATCGTACTATTAGAAGGGTGCTATGTCGCCGCCTGCTGTATTTAGTTTGGAAACGCTGACATCCGGGGACATTTTTAAAAAGATGCTGTAAAATTACAAAGTGGATTTGTATTGTGGTAAAAACCTGTATTTTACGGAAGACTCGAGTCAAAATGTTGGACAAATGTTGGACATTTTACAGTTTGCTGTTCTGTTCAACAGTGTTGTGTTATGTTGGGGTTTTTTTTCTTCTTTTTCACAACCCAGTTATACAAATGAAGGCAGGCTGTATAATAAAATCACTCTCTGTATATTAAAGTACAGTTAGACAAGGATCTGGAATATGAACTGTTAATTACGCCCATCCTTGTGGACTAGTTTGTCTGTTTGTTGTTTTATCTTGTGCTTTTGTTTTTATTGTTCTTTATTTTCTCTTTGTTCTATTACGTGTTTTATTCTATTGTTAAGTATCTTGAAAGACATTTTATAAATAAAATGTATTATTATTATTAGTAGTAGTAGTAACTTTTTTTTATAAGTTACTAGTGAGTAACTTATACCAAAGTGTTCAAATATCCAGTAAGTGAGTGCACTAGCGTAGGCTAGTACTCTAGCATGAGAGAATAGGTTGTCTAATACTCAGGGTAGGGTAAAGGTAATATCTCTCCATACTGTCTCCGTTTTGGAACAAGCGCTTGCATACCCTGATAAACCCCCAGGAAACTGAGGCTTAACTGTGACTGTGAAGCAGCTGATACAGATCTTACAAAGGTATAATCCACAGATAATCCAATCTGCACTTATACCTTTCAAAGCTGCTCCGTCTTCCAACCTGAACTTGGCCAGAATCAAAGCAAATATTACTGTCTGATGCCCAACACAAGTCATTTTTGTATTAAAGAGCTAGCTCACTTAAAGTCTTCAATGTCAACACAAGTGAAGATGGCCAACAAAATAAACCTATCAGAGAGCTTGTACATTCTTACAAAGAAGAAATGTCCTGCTGAGCAAAACAAACTGCAGAAGATGCGCACCAGTGTCTCAAGGCAAAGAAACACTCTTCAGTTGTCCTCTCAATACCTTCACAGAGTGACAACTGTAAACAAAGGTTTCAAGAACAAAATATTATTGCAAATAAAAGATATTGTGACCCTATTTTCCTTTCATTGGACACCTTTTAGTTTACGTGGGGGTAGTTTGTCCTACATTTCTGTTAATCACCTGCACACAATCCTGATTTGTGAGCAGCAGATGGTGAAAAATCATTAATTATAGAAGAAAATTAGAAGGGTCACGTTATATACTTGATTAACAATGTCACAAACTTTCATATTTGAATCCAGGTGAAAAGACTCCTTGTATTCAATCACACATTATCTGGTCATGTTATGTTTATTAATCAGTGCCCTAAGTGGTCTCAGAGTTGTTACTGATGTTATGGACATTATTCCTGTATCTGTTGCAACCTTCAGCCAAACGGGTCAGGTTAGCTGTGTACACGACACAGAGCAATTCTGCTGTGTCAGCTCATAGACAAAGGTTTAATACTAGAAGCCTAAAAGGCTTTAAATATGGATACATTTAGCTGTAAACACACATTTGTTTGCTTTGATCACGTAAACAATATACAAAGTTTATTTAGTGAAGAAAAAACTA